GTGATTATGACTATTCTGGATAAAGAATGTTTTGAGCAGAGGGGGATTCAAGCCCCCCCCCCCTCCCCCCCCTTCATTTTTTTAAGGAAAAAAAAGGAAAAATATGTTCAAATTGAAGTGCGAGAGTGTAATTTCCGACCATCTAGAGATGCCCTAATCATAAATTTTCTTGCCTCAGCCGCAACCATGGTGGGGCTGAGGTGGGTGGTTCCTCGGTCTGTGAAAGCCCCTCCCTGATTCACCTCTCTTTCGAATTCCTGGATCTGCCACTGTTGATTTATTATACTAGTGTATAATTATTTTTTCGCTTATTTATAATGCGTCTATTGCAATTTTCACTTTATCCTCTCCAACAGTCCTAAGAACGTTCAGAGTGCGCTACTTCACAGGGGGATTCGCCCCCTTGACCCCGCCGGGGTCATACGTAATTCGCATAACGGCTCCCCCTTTCAAAATCCTGGCTACGTCCCTGGGGTCAGATGTCCCCACGAAAGCAAAGTTGCCGTGGTCGAGCTTCGATTGAAAGGTTTCGAAAGTGGTCCAGGAGGCGAAGCCCCAAAAAAATTACACATTTTAGGGATTTCAAAGGGTTATTTAATCGATTTTAGAGTCATAGGCCTATATTTTTTTTTTCTCCCCGACGAGTTGTGCTTTATCTCCCCGACGGAGAGGTAAGCAGCTCTCCCCTACCCGCCGTCTCCCCCGCTGGCGCCACCCTGGCAGTGACTAAAATTGTAGTTGTCAGCATCAAACACGCACGCAGTCAGGGAAGTACGGCAACGTGAATACTTAATTCACTGACGCGTAATAATTGATCCTATTCATTTCTTGTTTGCTTAAAGTAATGAAATGTTTGTGTACATATTTCGGGTGCTCAAATTAAACATACATTGAAACTCAAATTGTACGTGGCTTTAACACTTTTGTTTGTGTACCCGTTATTGTCAACCTGTCTCTTATACACATCTAGATGTGTATAAGAGACAGGTATAAGTGTGGCGAATAAACACTAAATTACTCTAGTTCGAAATAAATAAAGTGTATTCTTTTCCTGCCTTATGCCTTGTTTACATGCCAGGGCTAATGTGCCCTCGTACTCATACGGTCGTCGTGTTTTTTCACTAGGCTACGAATTCGAACAAAATGGTCAGTTCAATAAATAACTACAAAGTTCATTACTGTGCATGCTTATGATTATGAGCAAAAATTGATGATTCTCACTATTGGACGGATTGCATAAAACTTTTTGTGCCAGTGGATTGTGACAATTAAAACGGACACACACTGGTATCTACAGAGGGGAAAATGAGCAATAAACACTAGAAACGTGATCACGCTCTTATTATTATTATTCTTAAACTTCGACGAAAAATTTGATTAATGAGATAAGACGCGCTTAATGCGATAAATTTTTGAATCTAGCAAGCACTAGAAAGCAAATATGTTCAGACTTTGGAAGTTGTTGATGATTTTTTTGCTCCTGAGCCCGCTGCTGACTTTCTCTGCATCTGGTGGTATGTAGGCCTGATTTAATTGATTTTCAGTAAGGTGTAGACATGATGTATACAACCCAAAATAATTGAAAACTAACTGTAAAATACAGTACCGGTAGTGTTTGTACCGCAAGTCTCAAACTACCTGGTGGTAGTAGGCCTGATTTTCACATCATTGATATTCATAGTGTTCGTAATCGTACCAGTTAATCTCAAACCATCCTCATTTTCTTTAGTAATTTTTTTCTTCAGTTTTTTAAAATGGTCAATTTGTAATTGAATTATTTCCTTTTTACAGCCAACAGTAAGTACTTGCTGATAGTTAATTAGTAGTTAACCACTATGTTGTTGTTGTTATTATTATTATTATTATTATTATTATTATTATTATTATTATTATTATTATTATTATTATTATTATTATTATTATTAATATTATTATTATTATTATTATTATTATTAGTAATATCATTCTCTTATTTATTTATTATTGTGCATAATAAAATTTTTGGTTAAAATTACTATTATTAACATGATTCTCTCATTCATCTAAAAGATTATGAAAACGATTTTGATCAACAAAAGGTTGAAAAAAAAATTACCATGATGAATCTCCTGAATAAATTCAAGGTCGGCGTTTACTTCTTTGCCGGAATCCTATTGCTGTCAACATATATTATGACCTTGCTCATGAACATTGCGATACATTATTTCTTACTGAAGTTAGCAATAGTACAATCATATCAATTAATTTATTGTGAATTGATTTTTTTGTTTTGTTCTTTAATTTGTTTAGTTAGATGCCCACAAAACTGAGAACACCTGTGAGTTATGTACTAGCCGGTCTTTGCACCTTAAATTGCTGGTAAACGGAAGCAGTGATGGGGGTTATGGTCGTTTTTCTGGTAGCCTTTAGTTTAAAAGGATAAGCTTTTTCATGGTTTTCACAAGCGCCTTGAGCACTTTTGTGGAGATGTGCGCTTAATAAATCTTATTATTATTATTATTATTATTATTATTATTATTATTATTATTATTATTATTATTATTATTATTATTATCAATCAGTATAATCTATACTCTAATCTTGCTGCTCGAAATAGTTCAGTCTTTTTAACAAATCAAGTTTATAGTTATTCAATTATTACAAAAATATGTTTCTCGTCGTGTGTGTGCAAAAATTGTTTATAGTAGGCTTTTTATGTTGACTTAATTTCGTTTCATTAAATAGGCTCTTTGTTACTTGATATTGTTTCATTTATTTCTAGGCAAAGCATTAAACACAATTGACAAAATCTCATTATAATAATGAATAATGTAAGTTTTATATACAATAATTATAATAAAATAAAGTTGCCTAGTTACTCGCTTTACATGAACAATCCATAAAATTCAACTCCTCCAGTTTTATACAAACCAACAGTCGAAGAGTACCAGTGAACCGAGTGTATTAT